GCTGCCTGGGGCACTGGACTTCTCTATTCCCTGCTGCACACTGCCAATACATTTTCACTGCCTTTCTGTCAAGGCAATGCTGTGGATCAGTTCTTCTGTGAAATGCCCCACATCCTCCAGCTCTCCTGCTCAGATGCCTATCTCACGGAAGTTGGGCTTATTGTGTTTAGTATCCTTGCCTTTTTTGGGTGCTTTGTATTCATTCTTTTCTCCTATGTGCAGATCTTCAGGGCCGTGCTGAAGATGCCCTCTAAGCAGGGACGCCGCAAAGCCTTCTCCGCGTGCCTCCCTCAGCTGGCTGTGCTCTCCCTGTTTCTCAGCACTGCCATGATTGCCTATGTGAAGCCACCTTCCATCTCCTCCCGGGCCCTGGACCTGGTGGTTTCATTTCTATACTCTGTGGTGCCTCCAGCACTGAACCCCCTCATCTACAGCATGAGGAACCAGGAGCTCAGGGATGCAGTGAGGAAAATGATGCCCTGGTCACAGTTCAGCAGGGATAAACTTCTCATCTGTCTCTACAAATATCTCACAGTCTATTCCGTTACAGGCCTGAATTTTTTTTTTTACTGTTTGTAATTATTTTTTATTTATATTAATAGATGCATTTTTCTTAGCTGTTCATATATATACATGTGTATGCAATTATCATTAGTGGTTACCATGTTCCTAAACATGTGTTTGGATTCCAACCACTTCTCTGACTCATCAACCTGCTGTATTTCTCCTGGAGCCCATATAAACTCTGGGTCAGTGCTGACTCTCTCACAGCCTGTGTTCCATCTCTGTTTCTGCAGTGAAATGAGATGCCAGTAAGCAGCATGGAGCTGAAATAGGCTGGATTAGCAAATAGATCAATATATTAGCCTAAGGACCAATTTATTACATTAGCAAAAGGAATCAGAGTGTGGTCATCCCAAATCTTCCCAGTTTAGCCTTGCTTGGTGTGTGAACAGCTCTGTTTTTATCAATGAGCCTGTTCCACAGAAGCACTGAAATCACTTTTTTGCCTCCACCAGGTGCAAGGACTTGCTCTTGAGTTTGGTATAAACTTTTGAAGTTACAGTGCACCAAGATACAAATTTGCTGATTGTGGCAAAACAAGCAATGGAAGTTTTCCAAATTGGGGGAAAAGAGCTAAAAGGTGAGCCAGGGTGCACGGTGATGAAGAGGAAGATGAAATAAAGGGGACGAAGTAGGTGCTGTGAGAAGGAGGACATGCGGTGTGAGGGGCTGTGCTGGGGCACATCTCTGTACCACTGCACGCATGCTGCCCCACGCAGTGCCTGCACTGAGCTGCCAGGGGCTCCCTGTGGGGCGGTGGGGCCGGGCTGTCCTGCAGAAGGGAAGGCACAC